TCTCTACTTATCATTTTTTTTTTATATAATTACAAACTCGAAATAAGTTTATTATAAGGTTTGGTTTATTGACAATTACAACTTATATATATTGATTGAATTCTATCCAGAATTAAAATAAAATGTATGAAATTTGTCTTGTTGTAGCACTAGTGTATAAATATTTAGGGTATATATTAACTAGTTGAGACACATCACATAATTTACCTCTTTCACTCGCCTCCCGAATGATTAGAGCCCTTAAATTTGGATTACAAATTTATTGTAGAAGAAGACATGCATAAAATTAACAAGACACAAAAGTTATTACTTATTATTATATATAAAGTATTGTGATAAATGTGTCAATAAAGTTATTCTCTTTCTTTTGATGCAAACCGGTGGCACATAATAAACAGAGGTATAAAGTACCACCTAGTCACAAACACGCTAGAATGATGTAATTGAAGATTTTCATACTGCATAAGTGCAAGAGGTAATTAACAATTATTATATGATTTATTTTTAAAGTAAGGTTTAAGAATATATAATTTGATAATCTATCTTAGCACATACGTAAATAATAAGGTATGTTGCAAACTAGAGTAATGCACTTTCTTTCTTCAAAAAAAAAAGTCAAGAAAGCTTGTAGATTAATCTTGCAATTTAATTAGACTTTGTTGATTACAACAAATATTTTATTTAGCTATAAATGCATGTTGTTAATTGTTGGAAGTTAGCTGGAAATGATAATTGATTCAGTTGTAAGAGTTTTGTCTTCTTTTTTTTTTTTTTTTTTTTTGTAATGCATATATATTAATAAAGAAGATCGATGAGCAATATATACGCTAGAGAGCCATTCTCCCAGATATAATAATGATCAGTTTGAGAAATAACTGTCTTAGCTAAAGTATGAACAAAGTGATTTACTAATCTACAAATTAGTCTAAAGGAGCACGAAGTTAATTGCAATATAAAGGTGACACTCATGACTAATAAAATTAAGATATGTTAAATATCTGGCTGTTTGTTTATACTGGAAAATAGGTTTTAAGTTTTAACAGTCTATTTTTACGCCATCATTGCCCAAATTCTTGGATTTTAGCTATATGAGGGGTTTTCTTTTTCCCTAATTTAAGATAACATAAAAGATTTTCTTTTTGTAATAATATGAAATTATATGTTACTAATTTGATCTATTTTATTTAAGAATTCATAATAACATATCTACAAATCATTTTATAGTTAGTACTTTGTAAATATTTTGAGAAGAAAAAATGTTACTCTGAACATACACACACACACATATGTATGTTTTTAAATTTTAGGCCATTGCCCGTGAAAATCACGTAAGACACCTTCACAGCCTGCTACGCCGTTACCACCCTTGCAGAAGCCGTCCACATTTAATTTCATTCATCCACGCCGTTCATGTGTGTGTGTGTGTGAACCAGTGTTTTACATTTTTTCACATGGAGTTAATTTAATTTTTTGTACTAGATTTATAGAGGGTAATTCACTTTTAATCATTTTTTTTTATCAAAAACATCCCCTTTTGGTCTTATTATAATTGTGGCATGACCATTTTTTGGTCATCCATCAATAAAATCGTTAAAATGCCGTTAAATATAAGAACATTTTGATCATTTTTTTATACAAAGTGGATTGACCCTCTATATTTTTTATGTTTTTTTTTTATGTTTTTTTGAAAAAATCCATAATTGAATACCGAAATGCCTTTGTATTTAACGACATTTTAACTGTTTTGTTGATAGATGACCCAAAATGATCATGCCACAATAATACTAGCACCAAAGGTAGATGTTCTAATAAAAAAGTATTAAAAGTAGACTATCAACTATAAATCTATAACAAAAAATGGAATTAACTCTTTCCACATGGAAGAACTGTTTTTCCATTTTTACATTTTAACAAAGATTTGGAAAACAAAATTGTCTTGTTCTCCATTTTTTTTTCAAATACAAAATACATACAAATGATTTCATCTGTAATCGCTATTATTATTATTTACGAAGTTCAATTTCACTTATCCATCTATTCATATCATCATACTCAACTACTTATCTATATACCTCTACCACCACCTACCTACCCTATCACCACTCCTATCTACTTATCTTACCATCACCACCATTATAGTATTCATACTATCTACATATCCACTACTATGACTACATATAATATTATGTATCTCTTCTTCTTTTTTTTTTTTTTTTTTCTGTTTTTTACTCTACCATGTTATCAGGGACAACAATAGGTAGGTATTCGTCTGTTTAGTCATTTTCAAATTTGAAAATGAATACATTTAGAATAATCCAAATATGAATGAATGTTACATGTACTCACTCCAAATCCAATTGAAACTACCATTATATTACTTGAAATCAATCCAAAACCTATCACACACCATTTAAAAACCGAACTCATTTAAAAGTCGACTATCAACTATTCAACCTCGGTATAATGTTATCTATTGTCATCCATAAATAGTATTCATATCGTCCAATTTAAAACTTGAAAAATAGCACTCAAATTTTTGAATATTTGAAACAAAATTTAGATATAATAACCAACTCAATCTAATGGACACACATGACCACACTACTCGATATTATTGTCACCTACCATTAGCATTATTTGTGAAGAAAAATAATCGATAACCACACAGGTTTAAATAATTTCGTATTTTTTATTTTAAACATAACATGGAAAATAAATCTTGATAAACATATTTTTATATTTTTTATAAATTTTAATGGAAAAAGAAAATTGAGAAAACTGTGAAAAATGAAAATAGAAAAATGCATTAAACATGCCTTAAGAAAACTTTAGATTACAAACTCAAAGCCTTCTTGTTCACTTTAGGGTGTACCCGACATATATAAGAGATTAAGAGCTATCACATTAAAATTTTCATCAAAAATAAAAAAATCAAGATTATCAAAATAAATTTTAAGGATCCATATGTTAGCCATTTTATTAATTATTAGGCCAATGAGATTTATAATTTAATATTCACAAAAAAAAAAATCACCATTAAATCTGCACAGAGTAATAGAATAACAATACTCAATATATCTTAAATTAAATAAATACATAAATATTCAAATTTGAAACTTTTTATTAAAACAAAATATTCCAAGGAAAATCCATGTAAGAAACAACAATCATGTGATAAAGAGTTTGAAATTTTTGGTTGATGTGAAAACAGATTTAAGAGGTCAAAAATTTTTGAATCTTTCTTTTAATTTTTAAAGATATGAGGCATCATATCATATTATCAATTTATCATGATGAGAGTTTGGAATGGACAAATTAGTAATATTATATGTATTTTTAATTTTTTTTTTCTTTATTAATGTAATATATTTTAATTGATTTAAAAAATTGATCTTAAATTTATTATTATTATTTAACATGTGACAAGAATTTTTATTCATGAAATACATCTATTATCAGGATTTTAAAAAAAATTGTTTTTGGACGTACTATTCTGGATCTAGGTAAACGTGAATAGCAGAGGTGAGTGTGAGAGCTATGGCCTAGGGAGGGTGTGAAGCGTGAACCCTACATGGCTACTAAAAAAAAATTATTATTTGCAATTAATAAAATATTTCTCACCTTAATAAATCATTAAATTGTGAATGCTGCCACTATGTTCTGTAACAGCGTGTTTGTTTCCTTAAAAGTGGCACTGCACTTCAAGCCTCTAGGCTCTACTGCTCTAGGTAGCTCTTTCTTTTTGTTTTAATTAATCCTACTTTTAATTTTAGAGTATGGAGGATTTTTAAATCAATTTATCTTTTCTTTTATATCACTCTTTTAAGTTTATCCTATATTTTTCTATCCAGATTTTTTATAATACAACTTGATTTCATTCACTTTCTTTTATATATCAAAAATATATATATATGAAATACGTATTCATATTTTGTGACAAAAATATTAAAATATATATACTCACATCACCATCTTTGCAAAGATCAATGCCACTATGCTCTTTAATTTTATTTAAAAAAAAAAAAAAAACTGGCAAAATTCCAAATATATTACTCCATATATTTTTTTTGTACAGAATTTTATACTCCATGCATGCTAATATGAACTCACTTCATTAACTTTTGGTGAAACATATCAATTTACATATAATTAATGAACATCAATAATTTTAAGACCATGCGAATTATATATACACGTGTATATTTGTGTGTGTATTGGTGTAAATTACCATTTCCATTCTATAATGCTTGCTTTTAGAATTGCAGTTCGGAGTATGGTGATTTGATCCATTGATATTAAGATTATTGGAGTGACACATTTGATGCATGACTTGCATTTTTTTCTTTTGGTTACATCTAATTATTTTGACCAAATTTTTTATTAAAGAAAATGACTACAATTCATTATATTTTTATCTCAAAATTATATTGACTTGAATATGTTGATATTTTTGGGTTAACTGTGTAATTTTGAACTAAAAATGCAATGTATTCTCATTGTAGCAAAAGAATGAAAGTCGTGTAGCAAATGTAAGAAAGCCAAAAAAGTAATACTTGAAGACCAAATGTGAATGTAAAACACAATAGTTGTGGAACCAAATGTAAAAGTAACTCTAAAAACAATAACATTTAAGATTAGCCTAAGCAATGGGAGAAATCTTCCCAAATAGGGAGTCGGAGTCCAATATACTTCTCCTAAAAGGTTGAATCCCCAACCCCAACCCAAGTATCCGACAGAACTTGTGGAAGGATGTAAATCACGGTGACTCAATGGTTCAGCAGACATAGCCAAATACCGGTGCGCACAACTGCACAAGGGATCTAAGCCCGTGTGGGCAAATTTTTAAATTTTTGTATAGCATAGGAATCGAACCCCCAACCTCTTAGTTAGCAACTAACAATATTTCCTATCAAACACATTAAACTTTTTAACTGATATAGATTTTGGATGCTATATATAAATCTAGAATGTCAACATAACCACACACAGACACACAAAGAGAGACAAAGGCACTGGTTTTTGTAATTGCACACACAAGCACAAGTAAATCTTATGAAGTACAATGTTAGTAGTCAAACATCACAGCAATTCCAAGTATGTATCTTAAAGCCATTCTCCCAAAAAAAATAATAATAAATACAAGTAAAAGTTTTAACAACAACAACAACACGTACAGGACGAAATTATAATTGGAGCAGAGTTTGGATATGTACATATAACCTTGCAGAAGAGCATCCTATATATGCAAATCCTCGATCAATCGGCAGTTAGACCAAAAATGAGGGCAATTGTAGCAAGAACAGCCTGCAATGTGAAGACATTATACCGAGCACCTTGAAATAGAAATGACAGTGGCCAAGGGGAACAAGATTACTTACTGCAATGGTGCATGTGATGTACCCTGGTTTCTCACGAGGATCCACTCTCGCACAAAGCAGAATGAATGCGGCAAGATACCATGGTATAGCAACAAGGAAGAAACCAATAATGAACCTTGAAATAAAATACAAATAAAACAAAGCTCAAAGCTATTAGGTGTAAAGAATATACACTGTTCATGATGCAGCTGCACCACGAAGATCAAGTAATAATATACGGTGGTGTATAAGAAGCTCTTACAAGTCACACAATTAATACAGCAATGAATGTTAAACATGGATGTCTTCAGAAAAGTTTTACAATGATGAGCCATAAAAGTTATGGAGTACAAAATTGCTATATAATGGAGTGTTTGGTTCAAGTAATAGCACATAAACCAGTAACATGGGCAATTGGAATGTTATATACCGTTGTTTGGTTTCCATTATGTGGCATTCCAAAGGAATCTCAAATTCCTCCACATCAGATTTTGGGTCACACTACGTAGCTGGAATCTCATACCCTCCAAGTTCTTAGGTATTCTGAGATTCCAAGTAATCACATAACCAAAGTTAATGTGAGATTACCTCAACCAACCACCCCCTAAAGCTTATTCCTGCATATTTGTATTGGAAATAAAGATCACTAAAGAAACACAAAAGAATAAGCGGCAGAAAAGGGCAACCATTTCTTTGGCTTTGGGCAGTTAATTATAGGTCAGAAAAAGTAGCAGCTTAACTACATCCAACTGAAATACACAAGCCCGTTTCCAACAAATTCAACGAAACTCCCAACAGGACACTGTAGATGGAGCCACACTTTTTTGTAGGTTACTCAATATCTCATCAGAAAGCCAATGTCACACAACGGCTACAATAGCTATTCTTTTCTCTATCCGACCAAAGATGAAATATCATGCTGCCAAGATGTAGTGCCCAAAAGTTAAGCAAAAGGTTTAAAGCAAAGAAAATTTCATTTCCTTTTCCAAATTGTTTATTAGAGCAAAATGGCATAAAGACCAACAACTAACAAGTATAGAAAAGCAGCACCTTATGAGGTGAAAAGTATAACAAATTGTACAGTAAAATGCAATAGCCTCTCATTTTCCTCCTATGCTTTATCCTCAATTGCTATTCGCTCTCTTTTCACTTCATACTTACAATGCAAATGCTTTCTATTTTGATAATAAGTACTGAAATTTAAGATAAACTGGAAAGCGTTGTCTCCATGTGAAGGCTACAACGCCCAGCTCCAAGAAACAGTAAATAGAAATATTAATGGAAAACAGTCAAAACACTAACACAAAAACTATAGTACATTTTAGCTTCAAGATTGGATCAAGCCAATAAGAATCTCATCCAATTTTAACTAACAAGATAAGCAATTAGGTGGAAGGCAAACCATAAAGGCATAAACAAAACGATGGTAGCACAGAACTTTAGATGCAACTCATGCAAGAAGCAGAACTCAACCCTTCATCTATCTAAGTAACCTCAAAAATTGAAGTTTCAGTTTACATTGCAGATAAGAAATAACAAGCTTTAAAGGGGTGACTTAATATATAACTTACAAGAACCAACCAAATCCACAACCACAGCAAGGGAGGCGGCGCGGTCTCACTGGTGTTCCCTCCACAACCGCATAACCTAGAGTTCATCAAAATCTCCCAAAGAATAAATGACAAATCACGACCAGTAAAAACCAAAAAACTTGAATAAATACTTTGTTTTCACTTAATAGATCAATGCATTAAAAGTAAAAACCTTTATTAGCACCAATTTTATTTAAAAAAAAAAAAAAAAAAAAAAAATCCGAATCACAGATCGTATAGAATGAGAAACGAAAATTTTGAATTGCTTCAACCAAAAAATTCAGAAATAAGAGAAAAATTGATATCCTACAGAGGAAATACCCAATGTTTTGATACTACATCTAAACAATAAAAGGTTTAGGTGAAATAGGGAGGTGGACCTGGAACGGCCTGATAGCCGTGAGAGTAGAACTCGGGTGGAGCTCCGGTGGCCCCAGGAGGAGCAGTCGGCTGAGGAAAACCAACCACCGGTTGAGGAGGGTAGTTCGCAACCCCTTGGAAAGTCCCATATTGAGGAGGCGGCGGCGGCGGCGCTTCCGCGTATTCCTCCTTGTGATGGTGGTGGTAACTTGGCTTGCCTTCTTCACTCATCGGAGTACAATAATTTCAGTAGGTGATAATTGAATGAATGAATGAATGATTTGTGAATTGTGGGCAATGATCAGTTGACTGCTCGTCCGTCGGTGATAGATGAAGATGAAGATGAAGAAGAAGTACGACGTCATCTTATTTGTTTGACTTGTCTTGAGCGGACACGTGGAGTTACTTCCTCGGTTTTGCCTTGCAATCATCGATGAAAGAATTAAAAGGAAAATTAATTTAGCCAATAAAAATACAGTCATAATTCTTATCAACACGATATCTACAAAAATAACTCTAATAATATTACATGGTTTTAAAATATTTTGAGAGAATAATTCGAAAGAGTGACTAAAAACTGCTCCGTAGTAGATAACGTGCACGTCATTTTCGGGCTTAATTGTCATAATAACATGGAAAACAGATATACATCTCCGTCAAGTAGGACCAAAACACGCATTTTGAACAATCAATTTCTTCAGTAGCTTGGTAACTTTATTTACAATATGATGAAAAATCACACGGCATTTTCCCCGGGGCGCTAAACTATATATCTTCTGTAGCGTGATGTTATGAAGCTTATTATTTGTTCCCAATGTATAATTCAATTGAAGGTATGAAGTTGGTCCTGCTATAAGCACCAATGTACAAGCACTATACGTCGTTAGCACATCCCTTGATTTATCTTCATTCTCAAGATCGGGGTGCCATCCTACCAGCACAGTACGCCATTAGCACATCCCTTGATTTATCTTCTCCATCAAGGCTTCAGAACAAGGATTCCCAAGATTGGGATGGAATCCTAAAAGCAAGGACGGTAGGCCGTTAGCACATCCCTTGATTTATCTTTTCCATCAAGGCTCCAGAACAAGGGCTGATAAACGGTTCTCAAGATTGGGGTGCAATCCTTTTATAAAGCTTATAATTTCATGGCTTGCAAGGCTAGTACCATGTTCGTGGGGACTGCTACGTCCATCATCCTTGGGTATACAAGGACAAATCCATCAAATAAAAGATATCAGCAGTCAAGAAAGAAAATCAGCAAAATAACAGAACAAAGCATCGTGTTCATAGTTGGGAGGGGAGAAGAGAGGGCATCAATGGGGGGAAGCATTTGAATGTCTCATGCAATAAAATATCAGTTCCTTGTTACTACAAGAATTACCAACTCCAAGTAGTCACAAGGGGAAATAATCAAATAAATAGAGTAACATATTAATTTGGCATTAATTGGGAAGTGTCATATTCACACAAATGTTGCAATACTTCACTTCCTCAAATATTATGAATATATTCACTTTTAGCAACTTTAATAATTAATATTCATGTGACTTCATTGCATTCTTTCAACTAATTTCCCTTTGATAAGTCGAAGTGACTGCACTTGTGTCAATGTGATTTTGGGCTCTTTGGTAAATATTAAAGGGTAAAATGATTCTCCATTATGCATTTATGTTTTCCATTACACAGTTTCCCTGAACATTATTAGCACACATAATTAATCAGATAATTAATCGGCGAGTTCTCTACAAGCTATTCAAACATGAAGCTGAGCCTGGCAAAATTAAAATGCATCATCTAGAGGAGAAAAAAAAAAAAAAAATACCTGGTCTTTCGACAACAGTGGATTATAGAGTAATTCCTCTCCTGTGCTTACCTGAATTTCAAACAGGCACATAAATGATCATTTCAAATGTACATAATCAAAATTAGTAAATAGCAAACAGGTAAAACATCCTTACAGTGAATCCGGTATTATCAGGAGCAGGATACATCATGTGTCCTTGCCTGTGAATGAATATGATTGTACAACTGCTCTGAACTTCCACCCGGCATTAAGATAACTAAAAATAAGTAAAAATTTATAAAGAAGGATTTCTAGAAACAATAATTGCATAGGTAGTAGCAGCTTCTATGGACAAATCACAGCTACATCCCTTGTCAATATTAAAAACAATGTATCAAATAAAACCCCTCTAATTATTTCTAATACTGTACAAGAAACAACATAAGATTGGCACAATCATGTTAGAAGAGATTCTATTAGTGTGGACAGTGATCAAACGATCATACTTTTATAGCATTTTAATGACTGCAGATCCAAAGAACTATAGTCAAAGTGATATCATTTATTTAATTCTTAAGAACAGTCAATGAAGTACTCCCTGAACTGGCCTAGAGACTAGAGTGTGCTCCTCAAATCTTTCCTTTAACACAAAGCACACTTATGCAGTTATGCTAACTGCACAGTGCACAGTGAGGTCCTGTAATCCCTTTTTTAGTGAAGCAGAAATGGGTAAAGGATCTGCTAAAAGCAGTAAAGACTACATCAAGTGGCTGAACCTGGAATTAGTATGGCAAATTATGAAGTTCAATTGTATGCTTAGTTTTGTGAACTTTAAACTACAACTTAGGGGGAAAAAGTTGAAACTTTCATACATAATATTGATTTCGTCCCATCAATGGAGGAAGAAATGATGTAGTTAGTGTAGTTCCTAATGTGAGACAATATATTCAAAATTTCACACCTATTCACACTCCTATTTTTCAAATGCAAAGATAGAAACTAGGAAAAACAGATATGATACAATTGATATAAAAGAACTATCCAAATAAAAAGAAACAAAAAGTCAAACATCTGTATTTCATTAAGAGGACTGATGCAGTACAGTAAACCATGCAGCTAAATACACCACTGTAGATGGCTGGTCATGTTTAGGGTCTTAGCCTACTCCCACTACTAAAGTTTACTTATTATCCACAATATATATATATATATATATATATATATATATGTGTGTGTGTGTGTGTGTGTGTGTGTGTGTGTGTGTGTGTAGATCAATTGAATTTGCGGGCAAAAATACTGATCCATGCATCCTTTCATGAAAAAGAATCATACACATTCAAATCAATGCTTCATATATCCAAGAAGCATAGTGCAAAAGAAAACCAACTAGCCCCAAATAGCTAAATAAAAGTTGTTTGTATACCCATGCAATCATAGCAGGTGCAGAACTTTTTTTTTCTTTTTCTTGGGGTGCATTGCATCAGTTCTAAAAGTTAGGTGATATTAAGACAAAAACAAAAAGGTTCAAACTGATAATACAAAAACATAGTGAAACTATCTTACCCCTGGAATAAAACCATCTTCTTTGCCTTCACGAATAAAGCCATCTTCAAATCTTATCTTGTTTTTTAAATAAACCAATTCCTTCTCCTGAAAATAAAATGCAATGCTCAACTGCTCAAGGGAAAACTCCAAGCCCAAAGTAGTTTCATTTTATTTCATTAATCACATATGTGAACAGTTTTCAAGTACCTATTCCTCATATTATCCTGAGATTTGAAGTAATCTGCATTCTTCTTTACAAGCTTCCAGATCCTGCTTCTTTGCAAGAGCCCTGTGATATTACGCCATAAATAAAATATAGTACTCATACCATTTCTCAATTTTAAGACACTGTTACATTCAGCTAATAAAAGCCAATTTGTAAAGGGTCATTATTCCCCAACCCTCACCTATAAATAGAATTGGACAAAGTCGGTGAATGAAGCTTTAGCTTTAGCTTCACCTCCAAACTCAACAGCAGCAAAAATCACAGAAGTCCCCAGGAAGTTTCCTATGCAAGCAATAATCAATTCTATTGTCCAGTTGTTCCAATCTCTTCTGAAAAGTCAACACTCCATGATGCATAGTCCGAACATCAACTTGAGCAATTTGTGCACAGGACCGAAGTAGTATGTAATAATCAGCATGGACAGCATAGATGTAGGCACCATCTTTCTTTCTAGAATAGCGGATGTAACCATAGTTCCTCTTTTGGGTGTGCTTACTGGGTGGAATATAACAAAATCGATTTTCCTCCATATTTGATTTCAGTTGCCTTATTGCCCTATCCTTGTAGGACTCGTTAAAATACTGACCATCATGTAATGATTTGTTATCTCCTGGGGAATTAGCACCATCCTCTGCTGTACCGTAATTACTTCCGCCCCCTTGTAATTCCTTACTCTTTTTAAGCCCATCTGATGGTTCAACATCCTAATGAAAACAAAACAAAACAATACACAAGTATAAACTATATTATGTTAATATCATTAAATAAAGGGGACTCCAGACTGAAGGGTACATTGAAGAAAAATATTCATACTGCTTACAATATGCAATAACTCAAAAATCGTAGACCATTCATAAACAGACCCCTGACCTGACAACCCCATGTAGCAGGTAATTTTTACAAAATAGCAGACGAAGTATGAAGATTAAATGGCATCACCTGAAGGACAACTCTTCTCTTTATCATGAATGTGAGAGCATAAACTGATAATAGTTTTTTATTAACCCTTTTTAGAGTTAGAATGTATTCCATATTCCTACACATCAATATGCATAACTATTATAATCAATCCCTATATCACCTAGGTACTAAAGAGAGAGAGAGAATTGATTATTACTCCTCAGAATTATTAAATTGCATTTTCCATGCTTCTCTCTTTAAGATCTCATTTCATGAAAATATGAAATTAATACTGAAATATATTGTTAATGTGTTGCTAGTATCCATTACAAAATTATAATTATTTAGAAGAAGAAGAATGAGGAGGTAAAGGCGGCAGCAGCAAAGAAAACACAACTAAGCCCCAAATGCAATGAGATAACAACAGCATGAAGATAAATGAGTTCAAAAACAGCACCATTTGACATTTTTGGAACTCCTGGCAATAGGAGTAAATTAAATATATGATGTAAAATTTTACAGCATGCAAATATATTGGAGAGAGAATTTAGACAATATGACAGCACAAATGAAACTTGTGGAAATGGGTTAACAAGAATAGGCAAGTGAAACCCTCACTCTCACACAACTTCCCAGCTCATGACTCATTTTCACCTGCTATAGAATTAGGTATATGTGAAGTAGTGATCAGCTATTTCATAATTTTCCATCCAATATTCATATGACCCATAACAGAGTTCAGTACAAACATATAAACATAAACTTGAGGAAGGTAAAAGGAACTTGTTCCAGACAAAGGCATCAAGCATAGGTTAGTGAGAATGACAACTCCTAGTGTCATATAAACATCTCAAATGAACAAAGTTCCAAAAACCTAGGTGGCAGGTTTCACCACATGAGAGACAATCAAAGGGAAAGGTAAAAGGAAATACCTTATTCTTTTGATAGAAATCCCATAGTTCCTCTATAATACTTTCTTCTTCACGATCCTCACAAGAAGAATTTATTCCGGCAAAAACCACATCTTTACAGTATTGAAGATACGATGCCAAATCTTGTGCATAGTCTGTAAAGCGAGGAAATATTAATCAATATTCTTCAAATTACAATCATTGCAAGCACCTAACTAGTTGACATTTTATAATACATATCATAATTATGTATAAATCCATATGTTATAAACAGATCATTTTAGATACCATATATATCTTTGTGCTCAGAATATTTCGTTTCCAGAATTTGAAGAAGCCTCAAAGCATCAAAATCAGCTTCCTCCTCATTTAACATATTATCAAAATGATCTGAGTTATGCAAAGCAACGTCCTCCTCAGCACTGGGTCTAGATAACATCATTTCCCATTTCCCACCATTTAAGTCATACACAATCCTTATTGTTACAATCACAATAGACACAACATAAACACGAGAAGGGAGTCTGGATTCATTGTCTGATAAGTAAAGCTCTGGAGGCATAGACCACTCATACACACGGCAAGCCTGAGGAAGAATTTTTTCAACAGGAAGAGATAACTCTCTTAGATAACGGGAAGCTATAGCATGGAAATTCACAGCTGGAAGTTCTAAACCTATTATCCGACCAATTGAAGCTGCAAATGACTCTAATTTCTGTATGGAGATAGCCTGAGTAGGCCTGAACATGCAACTGGCACTAATAGGACACGCCCTTGAAGATGGCCCAAGTTGCTTCTCAATTTCAAGAAAAGCAGCAAAATATGGAAGTTTGCCTTCAAGTGTCCACTTCACTATATCTGTTGGCAGGATTGCCTCTCTGGCTATATGACAAACAAGAAATGAGATAGCCAGAGAACAAGATAATGGAATCTTACTTCTCAGAGATCTATGCCAAATTGGTATTGCTCGTTTACCAAGAAGGTTGTGAGGTTCTGCTTTGTGCTTAGCCAAAGGCTTAAACTCACCAACTTCCCCTGCAAAACAACAGAATGAAAAGCCATATTATAACAAAATCTCCCCAAAATATTGATGCAGAACAACATAAACGGGGAACACAACCAAAAAATTGTTTCATCCAAGAATAGGATGTGCAAAGCAGTTATACGAGTAATCTCAATAATCGGAATAGTATGAAAAAAGGGACAAAGAATGTAAACCAAGTTCACAACCATTTAACATAGAAAGCAGTCAAAGCACAACAATGTCTTAAGCAGGCAAAACAGGTTTAACAAAGTAGCCTCAAAATATATAATTTAAAGATACAACAGATAAGCAACAAGATGCAAAAGTACCTTGTATTTGGGATTGTGATTCATGAATAACCTCATCTGCCCATTCATCAGCCATCACCCTTTCATAAGCCAAATATCTCAACCAAATTGGCCCTGTAAGCCCAACAATTAAGGGGCTTACATTAAATTTCTCCACCAAAGCCTTACACTGCAACTGGACCATAATTTGAACGCCCATAACATACCTCTTCCTGATCTCTGAATAATAGGAGTCTGGTGAAGTGATAGTTTCTTGGACAGAACCAAAGTCACTTGGGTCAGTAGGACCAACACCATTGTTGACAGTATCATCATTATAGTCATCCATGGTTTTCAGAATCTCTTGATACTGGGACTGTGAAGCCTTGAGCTGAGAAATTTGCTCAGCTACAATGGCCTCCTGCCTAGGACGAGCACGAGTTTGGGTGGTAGAATAGATCCCACCATCAAATGCATTCAAGTCAGCATCATCTACGCCAGTATCGACGAAATCAGTAGCTTGAGAGTTACAACGAGTGCAATAAAAGAATCCGTCACCACCATCATTAAATCCAAGATTCCCACACACATCACACAGCCTTTCCAATCTTTCCGTCATTCTTTACTGTGTATGTTTTTTCAAGTACTACCAAATAATCTGCACAGAGATAAGCTAACAATTTAGTCTATGAGCAACAGCAGACATACTTGATTGGGGGAAAATTAAAGTAATTTAAAACACAGTAAAAAATATTTATGACAAAATATGAAACACCATTAAGTAGATCAAATGGTTCAAATACCAATTGCCAAACGGTTTGGAACTCAATCAATGGCTCGGCTTTGGACTATTCTTGTTCGGGTTATGTTATCAGTCAATGCCGTATTCTTAAACGACACTTTGAAGTAGTGTCCAACTATCCATTCATTTTATTCCTAGATCAGTGAATAGGTTGGCTCACGCTATGGCTAGAGCTGTTAATTCATCTACTGGTCCTAATGTTTGGTTTGATTTTGCTCCCTCATGTATTGAATCTTTGATTTAATAAAATGTTGAAGTTTTGATTTCAAAAAAAAAAAAAAAAATAGTTCAAATACAAATACATCATAAATCAAATTACAATACTCATGACAAACTAAGTGAAAAAAAACTCCTCTAAGTTCTCTCATATATTGAAATTGTTGTAAGATTGTTTCATTCAAAATGCAATGTTCACAATTCACAATTAATCAATTATGAATAAATATCACAAATTATTTTTTAACAAATCTCATAATACAATCCTATAGAACAAATCACAATTCTCTAGAATGTTGGTTACAAGTACACATTACAAATCTTTATCTGTTGACATGAAAAATCAGTTTATTAGATGACAAGCTAAACTACAGTAGACAACATCAGAAACAATGGATAAGCTGGAGCAATAAATAGATTTAACAGAGTATAATTGTATAAACCCATAGGCCATAACAGCTCTGAATCAGAATTTCGTTCTAATGTTCTAATGTACTACGAAATACATTCAACAGGAAAATGAAATCATACCAAATGGTAATCCTTTTTCCTATTATCCACTTATTTTTCACTGAGCGGCGTATATATATAATATATACTACTGTCTCAAAGCATCAAAATAGTATAGTTGCAGCAACAAATCAACAACGCTTCATAAAAATGATAGAATACTATTAGAGTTAGGGGATTTAGGGTTTTATATTAATAGAATTAGGTGATTTAGGAATTTGAGTTTCGGACTTGCTGCCGCTTTCCTTACAAGTGGACGACGAGCTCCGGCCACTGACGACGAATCGCTGACTGCAGAGTGCTGACAAAGGCCAGTATTCAATGTTGAAGGAGTGAAGGAGAAGCCGAGAAGGTGGAGGTTGGAGGCTTGGAGGGGCAGAAGGCGGAGCGTATAAGTGCAGAACGGCTGAAGGATTTCAGGAGAATGCCGAAATATTTTTAAAACATTTATATATATTGACCAAGACGACAGCGTTTTAGGCTGTATTTAACAAAATTATTTTTATTAGCTATTAATTTGAGCAATTATTTGCACAAATTCAAGAAATGATATCATCAAAATATATAAACGATCTAAACCATATCTTTAATTGCACTATATAATATTTGATGTTCTAATTTAAATAATTATATATAAATTCATATATTATTAACAAATTCATTCCGTGCATCGCACGGGTGCAAATACTAGTTATTTTTAAAAAAGTAATTAAAATGGTCAAATAAGCCTTCCTAGTCTAATTGAATTCTTAACTAAAAAAACATTGCTAAAAGCCTTGTGGTCAAGCGGTATCTGTGAGCCTGTAGCCCCTCAAATGAGAGGTCAGGTTTGAACTTTAATATGAGGTATTGACTTTTGTGCTTCAATACTATATTGTAATAGAGTCAACAGTATTAAAAAAATAAAAAAATATTTATTTAAACAATTAGACCTGTTTTTTTTTTTAAATCCAATTAACACTTTTAGTAAGCTTCCATCAAGTAATTTGCTAACTAGAAATGTGACATTAATAATGTAGATGGTTTGGCATTGAGTTGTTATTTTTAAAATTGATGCAACATTATTGTAATTATTATTATTACAAATACATTAAGTAGGAAAGTTATCGAGAAATATTTGTCGACGATTAAAAATCTTCTCTTCTAAAAAGATCTAGACAAGGAGAAGAATCTCATTCATACTAAAGATAGGAAGACTCTCTTCTAGATTATTTGCTTTGTACGAAGACATTATATTCTTCCCTTTATCTATGATGAATCTCTTCATTATGGACTGTAAACACAGAAAATTCGAAGCCGACAAGTGGACCGATTAAATCATTATCGAGCCCAATTTCGGGATTGATTATTAGTCCAATTTAATTAATTGGGCTATGATAATTAAATTAATTTAATTAGTCTAAGTAAATTTGATTTGGACTATCGAATTAATTAATTAATTGGTCTAAGCTCATTTCATAATTGCATTATAATTATAATTATAATTTAAATATAATATGATTTTGTTATATTGAATTAGATAATTAGAATTTAATTTGAGTTTGAATTAGATGATAGAATAATGAACCTAGACTTGATTTTGGCAAGGTTCATTTTAGTAGATAATTAATTAATTTAATTTAATAAAAATTAGTGGAGTTTGTTGAGGGATTTTAGTTACAAACTTCACTATAAATAGAGCCTCAATTTCATTCTTTAAATCACACATCAAATACATTGAAAACAACTTGAAGACTTGAGAGTTTGAAGGTATTGAAGAACGCTTGACAACTTGAAGGCTTGAAGATTTGAGAGCTCTTTTGAAGGCATTTGAAGAATTAAAGGCATTGAAGGCATTTTTTTGCAAGCTTTGAAGATCTTTAAGAATTAAAGGCATTGAAAGCATTTTTTTTTTTTTTTGCAGGCTTTGAAGATCTTAAAGAATTAAAGGCATTGAAAGCATTTTTTGTAGGCTTTGAAGATCTTGAAGAATTAAAGGCATTGAAGGCATTTTTTTGCAGGCTTTGAAGATCTTGAAGCAACTTACACTACTACAGAAATTGCTTACAACGTCTCCATTTTAACGTCGGTTTTTAAAAAATTCGATGTTAAAAATTTAAAATAATTTTGATTTTTTTTTAAAGACATAAGAGGTCGGGTTTTACTAAAAACCGACGTCTTATGTCTTAAAAATTAATAAAAAAAGAAATTAAAAATTATACGACGTCGGATTAATATATAGCTGACGTCGTAATATATTAATAATAATTAAAAAAAAAAGAAATAAAAATACTATACGACGTCGGCTCATTTACAAGCTGACGTCGTATATTTCTAAGATTTTTTTAAAAATTATTTTTATTAAAGATACGACGTCGGTTATGTAAAATAACCGACGTCGTTACTTCTATTTTTTTTAAAAAATAAATATTTAAATATACGACGTCGGCTGCGATATAGCCGACGTCGTATACCCTAAATTTTGGGCTAATAACAAAACCTGGATCTGCACTTGTTCTTCTTCCAAACAAAACCCTCCACAATCCACACGCTACTACTGCCACAAAAAGCCGTAGTCTCGCACTCTAAACCGCAGCTCCACCGATTCCTTCTTATCGTCGCCCACCGCCGTCGCCCTTCGACTTCCTCGTCGCCACCGCCGTCGCCCCATCAACTTCCTCGTCGCCAGCCGTCGCCCCATCGACTTTCTCGTCGCCAGCCACTGCAACAACCTCGCCGCACGTCGTCGGTATCCGCAGCAACTCGTCGCACGTTGTCGCCATATGGTAATATATATTTATTTTATTTAAATCATTTTTTCTATATATATTTTGAATTATTTTTTATATAGTTAATTCCAGCAATGGTCATCCGACTATTACGATTTTCCAAAATTGGTCCTCAACTTTTAATTTGGACGAAAAAGACACTTGACTTTCACATTTGTTCCACCAATAGTCATTCTGTTATTGGTCCGTCAGTTAGGCGTTAAGTTAGGGGTTAAAATGGTATTTTCCTTTTATTGCTCCAAGTACAGAAACTCTGAGTTGGCTTGAGACAGTTTCCCCACTACTATTATGGGATCTATGCGTTCCAGATTCACTCGGAGAGGAAGTCAACAACGGAGATGACGATGACGGCTGCGATGACGTAGGCCATGGCGGTTGCGACGAGCTTCGAGGACACCGACTTGGATTGGGAACCACGAGGGATGCTAAGGGTTGCGGTGTTCCCAGGTAAGGTAGCAAACGTAGACGGGGACGGCGGAGGAGGCGGTGAAGAGTACGACAGGAAGAAAGGAGTATTGGCAGGGGCAGGAGTAAAATGGGATGTCTGGAGTGGTAGGCATCGGCGGCGAAAGAACAGAAAGGGTAAAATCCAGAAGGAAAAATGGCTGGTGGAGAACGCGGTGGCTGCGGAGGAGGAGGACACATCGTGGCGTTCTTGGTGTACTGGACGGCGGAGATGGCGACAGCAAGCAGTCATCGCTGTGTTTTAATTCGTCCGCGACTATTATTATTCTTTACGGTATCAATGCCATCTTCAATATATGCCAACAAATACAACTGCTCAATCCACACCTAATTCTACTTCAGAATTTATGGCCTTACATGATTGATAGAAAAAAAATTCCAGAAACAAAATCAACCCATCAGAGCATTAAACTAACATGAATGAATTATGAATCCCTTATCCAGTAATCTTTCAAAATACATACATAAACACGCAGCAAGATTTACATACTCTGCAAGAAATAGAAACTCCGAGAACCCACGATATCAGATCCAAAAGGCCAATACTTGAGATGGGAGAAGGTGAAACTGACCGCAACAATATAATTATACCCACTAATTATTTTCCATTTCAAAGCAAGCTAGAACATCTGTCTTTGCCAAGATCAAACAGAACTCAAACCCATCAAAGATTAGACTTGAAAATTAAAGGAAAAACTTTAGCTGCCGCCGCTATTATGAGTCGAAAACGGACAAAGATTGCTCCAATGAGAAAGGGAATAGTTTACAAGCTACCGACAGGGAAGAAGAAAGTAGAAAAGACCATTTTAGCCCCTAATTTAACGCCTAACAAACGGATGGATAACAGAAGGACCATTGCTGGAACAAATGTAAAAGTCAAGTGTCTTTTTCGTCTAAATTAAAAGTCGAGGACTAATTTTGGAAAATCGTAATAGTCAGAGGACCATTGCTGGAATTAACTCATTTTTTATATATTTTGAATTTATTATATTCTCACGGTTATACACATACCGCCGTAGTAGGGAAGAGAGAGTTCTAGAATATACCGGGGCGCTTTTGCTCGCTCGATCCTTCCGACACTTCATGCTCTGCGTCCTTCCGGTAAGTCTGAATCTGGAAATATAGTTTTGTGTTTGCTGAATTCTCATATTTGTGGATTTCTCATTTTAAATTCGGTTGTGTAGATCGTTAGTATTTGAACTTTTACGGGCGCTGAGTATTGATCCTTTTTCTGCTTTCGATTTGATCGTTTTTGTATCGTAATGAGAAGTTGGATATTATTTTAAGTTGGAATAGAATTAGTCATGCTTGCATTGTTTGTTGCTACGACCGGGGTCTTTATTTAACTGTTTTCTGGATACGTGATCGACTTTTAGGATGAATTAAGCCATGATTGTATGGTTTTCTTAGATGATGTAGTGTGTAGGGAGTATGTGTGCATGAAAGCTAATTCAGTGGCAAATTTTAATATTTCATGGTTCTGTTTCTGAGGTAGCTGTTGAATCTGATTCAGATCAATTCAAGCTTGCAACAACATTCCATATTTCTTTATTTTTTTTGTTGGTAAAGATTAATGCAACGGAAAAGCTTAAGTTTCCCTGTTTGTTCCAGTATGACTTCTGTTGAATCTTAATTTGATTAGTTGTAGCTCCGGAATGATAATTGCCTATTTTTTTGTTTCTTTGGTAGCCTATATATTAAGTTACACATCTATCTGTTGATGCCATAGTGAATCAGTTTGCTTTCGATGTTGGGAACGAGGATATGTTCTACAGATTTAATTGACTTCTAAACTTGATTTTTTAGGCAACTACTATCTAACTTTTATCTTATGTGATTTTTATTATTCAAATTTGCTTTAGGCCTTTTTAAAAAAAAAAATGTAAACTAGCATCATACAGAGTAATATATCATATGAATTTGAACAAGTGTGTTAGAGCTTGGGTCACAGATGGATTGAGTATCATACTAATTGGAGAAATAGGAAACACGAGAAAGGAGAATAGAGAATATGTTTACTTTTACATTTGAAAAAAAAAAAAAAAAAAAAAAAACAAAGAATGGAGAATGGAAATTTAGAAAAATGGAAGTAAATACAGCTTTAAATTTTGTGTACTTGGGTTTTATTTATGTACTCACAAGTCCTTGTTTGGTCTAGCTAAAGTTTATT